TCTAAATCATCTAGTTAAACTGAAACACTTACAAATCCAGAAACGACATCAATCCTTGTAGTGCTTGCTTCCTTGTGGTGCTCTGCTCTAAGCCAAGCAACCAAGTCAGCACTGTCCAAACCAGTATTGTCAGCAATGATTGTTGGAATGGCTAGGAGTGCCCACAAGATTGGTTCACATCAGTGGCAGAGCTGGTAACTCCTGCAGTTGCTGCTTGTGACACCATGGATGGTGAAGGAGTAGTAACCTTATAGTAACCTTCTCACCCAAAACAGCTATCATCCTACCAATAGCCCTCACTAGCTCACTTTAAGCCTCCTTCATCTAATACAAAGTTGAAGCCAAGGAGTGAGATAACTCCTTGGAGAGCTATCGATTGGTTAACAATACAATTCCTTACATTTGTAGTCATTTCATGCAAATTCTCAAGACTTGGTTGTTGGTTTGAGGTGGTCCTATTGGATTTAGCGCCAGAACTGTCTAGTGCGATATCTACTACTGAACAACTTTCCCTCTTCCCTTACTAGTCATTGTGACACAGGATTAGGGTCTAGGCATGCCAAAATATGTTTCACCTCCTAAAGAATGAAAACATAAAGGTTGTGTGTATGTGTATGCGGGTGTGCCAGGTCCAAGTTTGATCCAAATGCGAAGACGTGTATGTGCACCAAATCTAGGGGTGGTTTGGGATGATCTAAATAAGTGCACTTTTTGACTTTTTATGAAATATGGGTTGGATATGGGTTGGGTTTGAAGTGATGTGTTAGAGAGGTGATGTGACTTAAATAAGATGATGTGACTTAAATAGGATAGTGACTTTTTGACTTTTTAGTTTTTTTAGATCATGCCAAACAAGGCCTAACTTTTACCACATGAGCATGCCGAGTTCAGGGGAGAACTCCTGGTTCTTTCTTTGCGTTGCAAACAAGAACTTTACTATTCTATGTGTAAAAAAACTAAGCACTAGGCTTCTACAAGAAAAATATTGTGCAATTAAGTAAAGCATCACCATACTGTCAGCCACCCCTCTACATATGGACCACCCCCACACCTGCCCAAACCAACAACACCGAGTCTCGAAGTCATGGAGTCTTTGTTCCCCAATAAAATATTTTCTTACTAATTTCAATGATGCTTTTCTCATTCCTTACTATGTTTGGGTGCTACAAATCTCCAGCATAATCTCTCCCATGTTCACATATATATAATATGTATGTATTTGGATAATGTATTTTACGTAATTGAATGGTTTTGATTAGACCGTGAGTGATTTATTGGCAGGTGGTATTGGTTGGTGGAGTTGATTATCCAGATCCACTTTACCATCACTTCCCAAAATAATGTTCTGCTTCTCAATGGTTTATTTAGCATATCAATATATACATATATGCTAAAGTTCCAATCTTTAGAAGTTGAGAAATGAGAAGCGAGACAGAAGGAGATTGGTGATTAAAGGTTTAACAAAGAGATGAACCCATTTAAATCAAACCCAAAAACCGATTGCTTCATCTGACTTGAAGCTATGACCAACTCCAATAGTAATGACGGTCTATTTGTGGAAGGGAATGCTCTTCAATTCCCTCCATTTTCAGTCTCATTTAGATTCATGCTCGAAATTCATTGTCATCTTTTGAGCTTTTGACCAAAATGCATTATTTACAAACAAGATTGGAAAACCTTTAAAAATGTTGTCATTGCATTTAATGAAAAGGGTTATTCCAAAACAAAAATTGAGAAAATGATCCAACATTAAACCAAATGATAGCTCTGTGGTGGTGAGTGACGGAGTGGCGGCACAGGGGCTAGAGTTTTCAATTTTGTATTTGAAAGGTATGGCCAATGAGGGGGCTTCGGGTGGTGGGTGTACCAGCGGCCAAAGGAGGCTTTGGGTGGTGGGGGTACCCACGGCCAATGGGGCCCTCTGATTGATTGTGATAAAAGGTGGAGAAGTTTTGGTGCAAAGAAGAGGAGAGAGAAAGATAATGAAGAGGAGAGTGAAAGATAATGGAGAGGAGAAGAAGGCTGTTTGGTTATAGTTATTAGGAAAATTTAGATGTTCTTTGGGAATATAATTCATGGAACTTCGTTTTATAAAGGGACAAAAGGGCAATTACACAACTACTGTTAAATTCAGTAAGCGGGTGCTTCTATTTGCACACCATAAAAAACTCATCACCCCTTCAATTTTTTATTTTTTTATTACAATTTCATCCCTATCAAAAATCTAAAATAACCCAAAAAGTACTCAAACTCAAAAAAATCAAAACCCTAATCTCCCATTCCACCTTACCCCCTCCCCACCATCTCCACATTCACCTGATCATCTATCTCCCTTTCCCCAGCTACCTCTTCTTCTTCTTTTGAAAACCCTAGATCTCTCTCTCACCCACTCTCTCTCTCTCTCACATTCTCTGCAAAAGGTAGCAATAGTAGTGATCTTAAGGGCAGGGGAGGGTAGTAAGCGGTGGTCACAAGGGTGGAGGGTCCTATACGTATGGTAGTTGCGGGGTGGGGGAGGGTTGCAGGAGTGGTCAAGGGGTGGAGAAGAGTTGGGAGTGGTGGTCGAAGGTAGAAGTGGTGATGGTTGTAATGGTTGGAGGTGGTGGTTTGGATGGGTATGGAATAGAGTACAAAAGGTTTGTGGGTGTAAAGAGAAGATAAGAGGGCAGAGATGATGGTATGTTTGGAATTATGAAGGGAATAAGGAGATAAAAATAAAATTTTGAATTTTTTAAATAGTTTAATTAATTACAAAGTGGGCGTGATGAACTCTTTTGATGGGTAAATAGAAGCTCACTCACTTAGCCATCAACTATGACCGCGGACGGCAGTGTAATTTCAAAAAGAACAGGGAAATCCATGTAATTATCATAATCTTTTAGGGGAGGTCCATATATAACTAGCATAAATTGTAAAAATCAACTACATATTCTCAACCACATAAACAAACATACTAAATGATAAATTTCAAAACAAACCAAACCAAACCAAACCAAACCTTAAGTCTCATCAAATGGGAGCGGTTACATGAATCCTTCTTCTCCAAGCAGCCCTATCAAAGGCCATTTCATTAGTCAAATTAAATAGATCCATATCTCTATTTACAATGCTAGCCAACGTTAATCTAGGCCTACCCTGTCCCCTAACACTTCATCAACCGTTACAGTATCGCATCTCTTCACTACTGCCTCTGTGGGTCTCCATTGAATATGACCAAATCATCTCAATCGATTTTCTCTCAACTTATCTTCTATCCGTACTACTCCTACCCATTCCTAAATACATTCATTCTTAATTCTGTCTTGTCTAGTCTTACCACGCATTCACCTTAACATCATCATCTCAGCAACACTCATCTTATCTATATGTTGTTTCTTGGTTGCCCAACACTCCGTCCCATACAACATCGATGGTGTAATAGCCGTTCTATAGAACTTACCTTTTAGTCTAGTGAGTATTCGTTTATCGCACAGGACCCCAGATGCACTTCTCTACTTACACCATCCCACTTTAATCCTATGGGCCATATCCGCATCAATCTCTCTCGCTATTGTGATAATCGACCTTAAATAATAAAAATGTTCACTCTTAGGTAGTTCTTGGTTCTCAATCTTCACTTCTCCTCTACTTTCATTGTTACTGTTATTAAATTTACACTCCATGTACTCTGTCTTAGTTCTACTTATCCGAAATACTTTAGATTCAAGAGCGTTTCTCCAAATCTCCAACTTTGTGATAACTCCTTCTCTAATCTCATCCACTAGCACGATATCGTCTGCAAAAAGTATATACCATGGCACGTCATCCTGAATATTTCTTGTCAACTCTTTCATAACTAAAGCAAAAAGATAAGGACATAAGGTAGATCCTTGGTGTAACCCTACATTCATAGGCAATTCATTTGTCTCTCCAGCAGACGATCTAATAGTGGTCACCACCTCTTCATACATGTCTCTAATCACATCAATGTAACCTTTTATCACCCATTTCTTCTCTGACACCCATCATATTATATCTCGGGTCACTCTATCATATGCTTTCTCAAGGTCGATAAATAGCATATAAATGTTTATTTTCTTTACTCTATACTTTTCTATTACTTTCCTCAAAAGATAGATCACTTTCATTGTTGACCTACCAGGCATAAACCTAAATTGATTCTCTGACACCTCTGTTATAACTCGCAATCGGCGTTCCATCACCCTCTCCCACACTTTCATTATATGACAAATTAGCTTGATTCCTCTATATATAGTTGTTGCAATTCTGGACATCTCCTTTATTCTTATAGATTGGCACTAAAATACTCTTCCTCCACTAGTTAACAAAATTTTACTAAATAACCTAGTCAACCAAGCAACCCCTTTTTACCCAAACACTTCCAAGTTTTAATAGGGATATCATCATGTCCTAAAACCTTATTTGATTTCATCTTCTTAAGTGCAATCTTCACTTCAAAATTCCTAATCGCAACCTATAGTCCTGGTGTTGTACAAGAAGAATAAGCATAAAACAATATTCTAAGGAAACCACAATCTCTGCAAATACTATAAACTTTTCAGAGAAAATTCAAAATGGGCTTCCTAAAATAAGCAAATATCGAAGTGGGTAATAGGAGAATTCAGCAGAAAAGTCAATTTTCCTTTGCAAATGTTTGGCAACTTAGGTTTAGGCTAAAACAGGTAAAGAAAAAATAGATTCAAATGATCAATAATACAAAATATCACACTCAAATCATAATCATTTGACTATTTCTTTCCCAACTATCAAATCCACTAAAAAAACAAACCAACTATCATCAAAATCACAGCGTTTTTTAGCCAAGTTAAAATAATAAAAAGTCAATTAAAATAGCCAAATTCTCAAGCCAGTCCATTATTTATATATATATACGTATATATATATATATATATACATATATATATATATGTATAAAGAGAAATATTGAGTAAATCGAGTAAAAATTATTGCATGAAAATGGGGTATTTGACAGTACTTACCAAGGGAAATCGACGGAGCCGCTGCGATCGCCATAGAGAGAGATGTAGGGTTGGGGGAGAGGGGGTATGATGATGGAGTCAGTAAATTGAGGTGTTTTTGTGTGTGTGAGTTGTGAGCAGTTTGATTCGCACATCAAAAAGTCTGATTGTGTGCGTGTGTCAGTGCAGTTCGAGGACGGTGAAAGGGCCAATTTCCTGTTCGGGGCATTTTGAATATTTTAGTCCGACTCTGCCTCTGTTTGGGAAGAAAAAGTTTAGGCTTTTTTTTTTGGTTAAAATAGTCATAAAAAAATAAAATAGGCTATTTTAGCCATAAAAAATAAAATATCAAATCCAACTCATAATTATTACAATCCTCTCTCATAAAAAAAAGTCAAAAAAGCCAAAAAGCCCTTCCCAAACCAGGCTAAAATAGCCCAGGCTAAAATAGCCAAAAAGCCAAAAAGCCAACCCACTTCCCAAACGGAGGCTCTATGTTGTGTTTTTTATTTTATTCCCAATATAGGGTGAAACGGGTTTATCGAAACCGTTTTCGTTAAAACGGCAATGGCAAAGCTGTTTTGGATGAATAAAAAAATAATAAAATTTCTCCTCATAAAAACGGTTTTTGTAAAACGATTTTTACTTAACACTTAATTAATTTTAAGTTTATATAACGGTTTTGTAAAATCGTTTTATTTTTATTAATTTTTTTTTCAATTTATAAATATTGTTTGTCTAAAATAATAATTTGAAAATAAATAGAAAACGGTTTTTGTAAAACCGTTTTTATTTTTAATGTAAAACCGATTTTTCCAAAATCGTTTTTTAAAACGACTTTTCTAACACCGTTTTTTATTAAAAATATTTTTTTGTCAAAAAATATTTATGTTGAAAATATAAATTAAAAAAAATTAAAAATTAATGTAAAACCGGTTTTACCAAAACCGTTTTCTAAAACGACTTTTCTAACACCGTTTTTTATTAAAAATATTTTTGGTCAAAAAATATTTATGTTGAAAATATAAATTAAAAATTAATATAAAATTGGTTTTACCAAAACCGTTTTTAATTAATTTATAATTAATTAAAAAATTAATTAAAACAGGCTTTTCTAAAACCGTTTTCTATGTTCAAATTTTATTATTATTTTAACCACAAAACACGACTTTTCAAAAGTTGTTTTCTAAAAAACGGTATTTCTAAAACCGTTTTACCCTGTTATGAGAATAAAGATAAAAACACACCCTAAAGTAGGAATAAAATTTTGAAAATGGTATAGTCAGGGAAATCGGCCGGAAGCTCTCTCGCTCTCTGATATCTCACAATGCGCTAAAAAAAAGTGTCCTTTTCTGCCCTACTGTCACGTGGTTTGCACCATTTGTTCGACCAGCGCCCAAAAAATTGGGGGCTTTTCCCATAACCCAATTTACTATCTTAATTTTCAAATTAGATTTAATATAGACAGAATTTTCAAATTAAGTTAAAGCATCATTACAAATTACGTTTTCACTCTTTAGAATCGAAAATGTGGTAAATAGTGAAAGCGCTATTATAAATCAAGTTTTTAATTAAGAAAGCGTGGTTACAAATCACGCTTTTAACATAAATTTTTTTTCAAAAAATTTTCTTAATTTTATTTTTTTAAATAAATATTTTTTATTGTAAATATTTATTTTTTAGAAAATTTAAAATAAATTATTTTAAATATTTTATTTTTAAAATTTTAAAATTTTTTAAATATCTAAATCATAACAAATTATTTGGCTAATACTTAAAAAATAACAAAATATTTTTTCAAAAAAATTTAAAATGATAAAAAATATTTTTCTTCAAAAAAATAAAAAAAAATATTTTTTGAAATATTATATTTTTCAAAACAATAATTTTAAAGAACAAAATAAAAAAATTAATTTTTTTAAATAGAGTTTTGAAATAAGTTTGGTTTTAAGTTTTGAAAATAATTTTTAAATTGTATGTTTAGTTATGAGTTTTAAAATGAGTTTTAAATTTTTTTTAATTGGAATCATAATTTCAAAACTAAATCAAACATTACCTTAGATTTTTTATTTATTACAAAAAAATCTATGAAATGTAAAAAGGTAATGTGACACTTCTCAAAAGAGGTCATACAAAGATCATATACAGAATATGATATGTCTTACAAAATATTGATCTCACATTGAGCTCACCCCTTGTGCGAAATTTGTATTTCATTTTGTGTTTCACTCATGTACATATAAATTTATTATTTGTTCGATGATGTCTTGCTACAAGATTGCAAGAAACAGTATCTATAAACGTATTTATATGTTTATTGGTATGGGAATTGCTGTGGTACACCTGTTGAAAAATTTGGTTTTATAAGGCTTATTTTGGACTAACTTTGAGTCCAAAATTGAGTAGGTCCCAAACATCTTTTAGGGTGGGTCTAAAGATGTGACATATTCCTTGCCGCATGGCAAGTCATACGGTAAAGACGGTTCGTCAAAACTATTTATGAGTGAATGGGAAGTTGACGTCGTTTTCGGGTTCATGAATGGACAATTAAAGAAATAAATGTGAGTTTCTTTGAAATAGGTTGTCCCACATTAAAACTTTAAGAGAGTTTTTGTGTGTATATAATCTCTAGATTACAACACTAGGGTTGGGCCCCAAGGGGCACCCCAAGTTTGTAGAAGGGAGGAGGTATGGACAACGTGAACCTTAGCCCAAACCACCACACACGCGCCGCTGTCCGTGTTGGGTGTGGGTAGGGACGGTTATTATATTAATTTTTTTAGAGAAATTTATTTGAATTTTTTCCAATTAATTCAAAATTTGAATTTAATTTTTTGACATTTGTTACCTCTTCCAGTCCATTTTTCCAAAACAGATTAAACTGTTCAAACAGTTTTCAAATCTGTTTGAACCCAGACAGATTCATTTTTGCCTGACAGGTTTTTGAACTATAGCAGTTTTCCAACAGATAGAAAACTGTTGGGCAGTTATCTATTGCACCTGTTCAATTTGAATTTGCATCTGTTCACTTCAAATTATGTAGCTGTTCGGGTCTATATATTTCCATATCTGTTTCAGCATTTGGCAGTCCGAAAAATTCATTTCTTTTGCCTTCTTTTTGCTCTTTTGCATCAATTATTTTTCATATTATTTTAGGAAAAAATTCAAAGAGTTTAGAACACAAGTTTTGTTCGCCAAACAAATTATTTGAAGTGCTACTACAATTTGTGAAGATCATTGTATCCTAGGAGATACACATCATTCAACCGTAAGCACCGTAGCGGGGCGAATCTATCTTAAGAATAGAGTGTCACACACTCGACTTGATCTTTTTATTATTCATTCGATTCGGTATGTTATTTATTTTGTTTGTTTGATTTGGTGTCAATTTATTTTTTGTACACAGAAGATTGTTCCAACAACATCCTTATTATATATTTTGTGGTGTACCACCATATACACCCTTATTATATTTTTTTGTGGTGTTACATATTTTTTCTGATGGAATTATAATAATTTGTAGTTTAGAAATGAAGTTACGTATTTTGAACAAAAATAAATATAACATTGTCACAAAAATACGTAACATGATTTTTGAATAACAAATTATCGTAACATTTATCACATACATACATAACATACACCACAAAAAAAAATAATAATAACAAGGTGCATATAGTACACACTTTTTGAGGAGTGTATACTATAACATCTTCCTATCGGTATACTAAATATTGTTTTTAAGAGCATCTCTAAGAGCATCTCCAACCCATCCTTCATTTCTTCAAATATGAAGGATCCTTCCTAATTTTGAGCTCCAACCCATCCTTCATTTCTTCCTGATCCTTCAAATATGAAGGGAGGATGAAAAAAATGAAGGAGACCTCTAAAACACTATTCACTCCATATTTCTTATTATATTCGAAATAACTTTTAATGTGTAAATTTAATTTTTATAAAATTGACATCAATAAAAAGTATGAAATCATACCTTTAAAATGAGTATAATATTAAATATATTTTACAAAAATTTTAAAATTAAATATTTGTTAAAACAGTAATACAGAGAATTGTATGAACAAAAACAAAACTAAATACAGTAATACAGATGCCAATCTACATCCCATTGCTAAATATTTGTCAAAACAATGTTAGGATGTAGATACTACCAATTGATACTACCAAAATGGGATGTAGATTGGGATGTATCTTCCACTGTTGGGATGTATATACTACCAATTCCAACTGTTTTAAATATTTAGCAATGGGATGTAGATTGGGATGTTAAAACAATTGATACTACCAAAATGGGATGTAGATACTACTGATATATACAGAATTGTATTAAATTAAATATTTTCTTTAAAACAGCAATGGGATGTAGATTGGGATGTTAAAACAGTGTTCCATGAACAAAAACAGTGTTCCATGAAGTTAATGAACAAAAACTAGTAGATGAAGTTAATGAACAAAAACAGTGTTCCACGAAACCATACATTTTCAAGATAAAGCCTCAAAGCATCCTACCAACCATGCTTCTTAACTTCTCCTACCAACCGTGCTTGACTTCTGTCAAAGAATCCTTATTAACTTCTCCCACCAACTGGTAGATGAAAAGTATCAGCATTTTAAATGTCAAATTCAAGTCCTTAACGTAAGAAATAGTCTATATATACAGATATCTTTGTTTTCTAAAAGCACAAGTCTTTTTCTATCAAAGCTACAATCATATTTCCATATATACTTTCTATAGAAATGTCTGCAAATGTGGAATTGGGTGGAAAATCAGTTCAACGTGGTCGGGCATTCTTAATAGAAGGGGATAAAAATCTATGTAATGCATGGATTGAAATTTCTCAAGATCCTGTAAGGGGTACTAATCAAAAGAAAGAGAAGTTATGGGAGCGCATTAGTGCCAAGTATCATGAGCTCTTGCCAAGCTACAATAGTTGCTCTTGAACAACAAAATCCCTCCAATGTCGCATGGCTTTAATAATGAAGGCCATTAACAAGTTCCGGGGATGTGTTCGATCAGTTGAACGCCTTAATCCCAATGGTGCTTCTGAGATAGATTATGTAAGACTTCTTACACAATTTTGTCATGTATTATGTATATGAGTTAATGTTTTAAAAAAAAAAATGCCCAACAAGAAGTTCCTATATCTTACAAAATGTTGTTACTACTATAAACATTTTTTTCTTTTTATTTTTTTTAATTCTCATTTTGCAGATGAATCAGGCCAAAA